CGACTGGTCTATATTAGTTCAAAGATCAATCGCATTGATAAAGTAACAAAAGTTCATTTAAAGCTCGATTTTATGTAAAACAAGTGTTTACAAAAGGGTACCAAATACATGGGTTTATGTATTTTATTTGAATATTTTTGGGTAAAAACATGCACACGGTCGTAAGATAAGGCACAAGTGACACGGGTCGTGTAGGAGGGTTTTGGAGGTTTCTTGATGAAGCTTCTGAACACGGGTCGTGTAGAATAAGGCACAAGTGACACGGGTCGTGTAGGAGGTTTTTAGAAGGTTTTAAAGGTCAAAATCCTGAACACGGGTCGTGTTGATTTAGGCAAAACAACACGGGTCGTGTTCCGCAGATCCTTGCATACACAGATTAAAAACCTTCAGTTTTCAGAAATCTCTCGGATAGCCTTTCTCTCTCGCGTCTCTCTGGGGTTTCCTGTGTCAAAATCGTCCACGAAATTCCTAGATGAAGTAAGGTTCTAAAGAATTTGTGGTGAAAATCTCCCTAGTCTTATTTGGCTGTGTTGCTGCTCGGTTTTCTGTTTTCTAACATGCAGATTCTGAACTTGAAAACAGAAATCTCTCTGGATAGCCAATTCTCTCTCGCGTCTCTTTGGGGTTTCCCGTGGTCAAAATCGTCCACGAAAATTCTAGATGTAGTAAGGTTCCTGAAGAATTGATGGTGAAAATTCCCTAGTCTTTTTTGTGCTTGTAACGAGCCCAGTTTTCTTCGTTTTTGACTTGAAGATTCTGATGTTGAAAAACAGCAAGGTGGTGATGGTTGTGGTGATTTGAAAGGGTTTTTGGAGGAGGTTTAAGGAGGGTATTTGGAGGGTGTTTGGAGATTATTTTGAGATTGGAAGGAGGTTAATATAAGGGAGGTGTTTGGTGGTAAATGGTGTGATGAACAAGGATAGTGAAGATGAAGAACCTTGAGTTTTAATGAAGAAGATGAAGATGGTTGATGGTGTTCTTCATTTAGCTTGTTGATGATCTTGGTCTTCTTCACTTCATTGTTGTTTGGTGATTGAGAGAATTTTATGTTCCAGGGAATTACAAAGAAAAATGAACACTCATACTCAATTTTTTAACACTACAAAACTCATGTATACATATACTTGAATGAATAAATATCTTAAGCACTTGAGTTTTTTTTGAAAGGAAGGGCTGATCATGCAACTTGTAGTAGGAGCTAGGAAGTCCAAGTTGTAGTAGAGGTCTAAGAGAAAAAAATCGTGTGATGGGGTTTTGCTTCTTCATCTTTGACTTGTTGACCTTTCTTTGTAGACTTTTCCATTTGTTTGACTTTTCAACATACAACATATATATAATACATACATAATATATATATACATACATATATATATATATATATATATATATATATATATATATATATATTGTTAAAACTGTTTAGTCGCACAACTAAATTTTCTCGTCTATGCGTTTTCTGTCATTCGCGTGTTTTCGTATTTTCCGTTTTGATCACGCATTCATGCAACCTGAAATAACTAATAATATTTGTTAGATAATACAAAAATAGTTCCTCTTATTTCAGTGATGGTCACATACAAAAACATTTTTTAACAGTTTTGTTACACGATTCTGGTTATGTACAATTGTTATCCTAGGAAAATCCCATATTTTCGTAAAATTTGGTTACAAATCCGAAATGTAATGTAAAAGATGTATACTGAAAACCTGATTATCCTTATGAAATGTATTAGTTTTAACACGTATATAAAACTAATAAGTACAAAGTGAACTAGTTACTGAATCCATTATTACTAAAAAGTAAATCTCTGTTATCCAAATTGGGAGTTCCATTACCATACGATAGACTAGATATGGCAATAAATAGTCCAAATCAATTTATGACTTTCTTCACCCTTGAACCTTTCGGTTCGGCTGTAGCTAGCAGCCAGGTGCGGGGTAGTCAGCCCCGTATAGATCTATACACTCAAGTCATGCTCCCTATCTAAAAGATTCTGGTTATAGTGGTGGTCCTCCACTCGCGTATCTCTGTGGAGTGTTCTCCGAGGATGTGTCTCCAATTTATAGGAATAACAAATTTACTAGTAATAATACAGAAAGATCCTATTACAAAAGACGATCCTCCACTCGCGTATTTCTGAGGAGTGTTACCGAGGACAAAACAATGGACTAAGTTTCATGTTCAAAGTTCAAATGTTATGCTTTTAACTATTATAATGTGGACAACCATTTGTGAAAAATATAAAGTACAATAATTTATAATGTTTTTCACAAATAATATGATAATGTGTTCTGCAAGTTCAAACGGTTATCTGTTATGGTTGTCGGTGTTAAAAGCATATGTAATATGAAACACAACACATATAAAACAAGTTTTGAGTACAAGTATTCCTTGCACTTTACTTATATCCCCCCCCCCCCCCGAAAACGGTGAAAAACATTGAAAAAGGGTAGGGGTATGAGCTCACCAGACGAGAAAACGTGACGGTTTGGATGCTAAGTGTCGGTTCGGGGCTTGATAACGCGTGAGGTTCCTATGTAATATGAAATGATATACAGATGTATCTAATTAGACTTTAAATCACTAATTAGATATGATTATACACTACAATACGAGAAAACACTTCAAATCAAGTGTTTGGAGTGACCCGGTTGACATCTATGGACGTATAGGGCTTGGATAATGTGTTTACTCTTCAAGAGTAAACTTCCTATGGAGTTTTCGGCCCCTAGACGAACTCCACATGAGTTCAAGGCCGTGAACTCATGGATGAGGCTTTTATGATGCTAAATAGTCAAATAACACTTAGGGAAGGTTGCTATGATTTATTATGGACTTCTAGGATGAGTGATGAAGAGAGTTTCCAAATCAAGTCACTAAAAGATGATCATAATTGTGCTAGGAACTTCATGTTTGGATCATTGGTGACATATGCATGGATTGGAAGTCACTATACCAAAGAGATTGTACAAAGTTAGAAAATAAGTGTAAGGAACCTTAGGGTAAAGGTAATGGCCAAGTTTGGTATCCTATTTAGTATGGGGAAATGTAGAAGAACAAAGAAGTATGCACTGAATCTTGTTGAAGGTAGCCTTGTTGAACATTATGGTAAGCTATGGTCATATGGTCATGAGATTTTAAGCACAAATCCTGGGTCAACTGTGAAATTAGATGTGGAGGATGGTCCAGATTGAAAGAAATATTTTAGGAAGTTCTATTATTGTTTTCAAGGAGTTAAACAAGGTTTGATTGAAGGATGTAGAAGGATAATATGTCTTGATGGATGTTTTCTTAAAGTTGTTTGTAATGGGTAATTGCTTTGTGCTATTGGGAGGGATGCAAATGACAAGATATATCCTATTGCTTGGGCAGTGGTTAATGTGGAGAACAAGCCGAATTGGAAGTGGTTTTTAGAGCTGCTCATTGATGATCTACACTTGAATTTAGGCAATGGTTTCAGTTTAATGTCAGACCAACATAAGGTTAGTATTTTACATAGTAATTCATTTATATTTATTTTTATACTATTTGATTTAAACCTTTGTATTAGTACAGGGTTTGATAGAGGCTATTAAAGAGTTGCTTCCATATGTAGAGCACAGGCAGTGTGCTAGACATATTTGCCAGAATTTGCAGAAGAGATTCACTGGTGCCATATATCATACCTTGTTTTGGAGAGCATATAAAGCCAAAACTGAGCATGCTTTTAAAGTTACGATAAAGGAAACTGAGACATTGAACCCAGATGTCCATCAATATCTCATGGAGAAATATCCTAAAACATGGTCAAGAGCTTTCTTTCAAGCTGGAAGGTGTTGTGATGTAGTTGAAAATGGGTTCTCAGAAAGTTTTAATATTGTAATAGTAGATGCCAGGAAGAATCCCATAATAACCATGTTAGAGGAGTTAAGATTATACATGATGGACCTAATCTATAACATGAAATTACAGGGACAACAATGGGGAAATCATATTTGTCCAGAGATAAGGGATAAGGTGAATTTGCTTAAAAAGTTCAAATGCATTATTAGCTACTACCAAGTGGATTAAACCAGTTTGGGGTAAGGGGAGAAAGAGATGCATATGAAGTGGACTTAAAAAGGATACCATGTTCATGTAGGTTGAGACAATTAAATGGATATGGATGTGCACATTTTGAAGCTAGCATATGCTTTCTTAATAGGGGTGTAGAAGCCTATGTAGACAACATGCTTAGCACAACCACATTTAGGAAGGCATACAATTACAGAACTGCCCCCATTAATAGCAGTGACATGTGGCCAAAGACAAATTATACTCCATCATTGCCTCCTATTAGTAGAAGGATGCCTGGTAGGCCATCTATTAAGAGGAAGAAATACACTACAAAGAATATAGGAACACACAAGGTTTCTATGGTTGGAAAGAAATTCAGATGTAGTATTTGCAAGGAGATAGGTCACAACAAGGCCACTTGTCCACAGAGAAGGCCCCAAACGTTAAATGTGAAGAAATTGAAGAAACAAAAAGTTTGTGTGAAGCAAAATGCAAGACATGTAAAACCATTTAAAATTTAAATTTATTTACGTATGATTTGTCACTAACATAATTATATCATGCCATATAGAGTTGTACAAGTGAAACACGACACCATGAAGAGGTTGAAATGACTCCAATTAAGATGGATACTACTCTAAATGATATGCAAGTTACTCCTACTGATGTTGGATCTAGTAGTGCAGGGGATTTTAGTCACTATATGCAATTTACTCCACCTAGAAGTTATGAAGGTGATGAGGGTGTTGTGGGTGAGGAAGCTGAGGAGGCTGAGAAAGCTATTCAAGATGATGAGGTTAATCCTAATGCCTAAGTTGATAATGTTCAAATTTAGGAGTTTGTTCCTGTTATCCAGGTTCAAGAGGTAAGGGTTAGGCCAATTTTAGAGATTTTGAAGAGGATAAGGAGAAGAAAGTCAGAGAGAATATTGAAGCTAAAATTAGGCAAAACAATTGGTGGTGTTGATGATCCAGGAAATTCTAAGAGAAAAGCTCTTGTAATTGATTAATGTTGATTGTAATTTGGATTTAAATTTTATGTATTAGGATGATTGTAATTTCTTTTAAATTTTATGTATTAGGATGATGGTAAATTGGATTTAAAGTTTATGTATAAGGATGATGGTAATTTGAATTTTGTATGGATGGTGCCTTTCAATTTCACTCATGACACAAAAGGGTATTTTCATCATTTATGTGTGGCTGGTGCCTTTTTAAGTTCACTGTTGACATAAAAGGGTATTTTGGTTATTTATGTATGGATGACAGTAAAGGGTATTTTGGTCATGAGAGAAAAGGGTATTTTGGTCAGTAATGGATATTTTGGTCACTCTTGACATAAAAGGGTATTTTTGTCATTTATGTATGGATGACAGAAAAGAGTATTTTGGTCATGAGAGAAAAGGGTATTTTGGTCAATAATGGATATTTTGGTCACTCTTGGCATAAAAGGGTATTTTGGTCATTTATGTACGGATGACAGAAAAGTGTATTTTGGTCATTTATGTATGGATGACAAAAAAGGGTATTTTAGTCATGACATAAAAGGATATTTTAGTCAGTAATGGATATATGTCGTCTTTTTACTGGAATTGTTCATATGATATTTTACTCATTTATAAAGTATGCTGCCTTTTTAAGTAAAATCATGACATTTGGCATTGAATATTTTGGCATGGAAAATTTTGGAATGATGTACATGCATGCGAATGTTTTATGTGGTCCAAGATATAGTTCTATAATGGGTTCAAAGGTCCCATTTTTCCATTATTAAACACCCACTGACATATAACTACAAAATGGTCCCCATACACATAGTGTACTACTACATGGACAACTTTCTCTTTTGTTCCCAAAATGAAAACATGCACAACAACCAATCTATTTAAATATATTTGTTAGGAATACAAGCCATGCATATGTTTCTTTAACATCGACATATGATTATACAAAATGCCCTATAATTGGGACTATGAATAGTTTTTTTATATTAGTTATCATATGTCCTTTCATTAGGGACTTAACACCTTACGACATCAACACAACAAGGTTGATAGCCCCAACTTGTAACTAAAAGCAGCTTCAATACATACAAAATATCCATCATTACTGACTTTCTAGTCTGCCTTTAAAAAAAATACAAGGGATCCCAAAAAACAAAAGCTTACACTAACCAACCTAACTAAGTACAATCACCCACTAACTTCAAAACACAAATGACCAAGCAAGAAAAAAACAATGCAACTATCATCCTGTACCTGCCTATTGCCTTCCTTTGATCATAAACTTCTTTCTTACTCTTTGACACCATATACTACTCTTATGACAACAGAAACTCCACCTCAACAATCCTTCTCCTCAAATTGTTCATCTCAAACAGATCCTCTTTAGCATCCACTTTCTACTTTAGACAATATAGCAGGTTTTTGTAGTACCCTTCTGTCTGTTCTTCATCTTTCCATTCAAAGAAGCTACATTTCTTCAATCTAGTCTATACAAAGCCAATAAAATTAGGGTTTGATTCACAATCACAAATCAGCTACCTTTATTGTACTAACGAAATGGGTTTGATTCACAATCAAAAATCATCATCAAGAAGCAAATAAAATTAGGGTTTTTTTAAAAGCAAACAAAATACAAATCCACGATGATCGTCTTTATAGGAAGAAACAACATAACAAACCCTAAAATAGTAAGTTATCAAGATCAGGAGTATCCAGAACAACCATACTGTTTTTGACAATTCCAGAAATGTCTCCCAGGGTTTGTTATCTTACAACACGCTCATTCTTTAGCTGGAATGCCATAATCACAATGCTTTACCCCCTTCTCGCGATTGAACATGAGTTACTTGTAGCTGATTCCTTGAGGTGGATGAGCTCGAAGAAATTATTCTTCAGGACGAAAATAGTTAGGGTGAACTCTTTTACTTTTTAGATAAGGGTAACTAACATTTTGATGGAGGTCTGAATGAGGGTTTCATTTAATAGGCCTATATCGGGAAGTGGACTTCTTCGGCACATAAGCATCCCAAGTCAGCTTATTGGACACATCAGCATGCCACATAAGCATTGTAACTGGTGAACCTTCTAATTTTTTGGATAATGGCGTAATTAATAGGTCAATTACGAGTTTACTGGTCTAATGTACCAAAAAACTTTAAGGACCAAATTAGACAAAAGAAGAAAGTTTCATGTGCTACAATAACATTTTCCCTTAATTTTGGGATTAAAGGAATTAATTGAAACTGCATGGAATAAAGGTGAAAATATTCAATACTTGATCATTGAGAATTCTAGAACCTCCCTAAGTGGGGGGAACAAATTCTAGGGTGTTCCTAGGGTTCCCTTGGGCTCTAAGGGTGCCTGGGATGCCATAGGGAGGAAGTTAAAGGATTAGGGTTATCTTGGATACATCTGCCTAATCCAATACCTTCCTAGCACTTAAATAAACCCTTTTAGGGTTAAATTTCGACCTATGCACTCCAAAAAGAACCTAAGGGCTGAAATTCTGCTCTACTTCTCTCTTTGTAAAGTAATCCTTGGTTGCTAGGTTTGTTTGTAAGCCACTAGGGTTGCATGCACACATATGATTGTTTGCTATGTATAAACCCATCAGTGGTATCAGAGCCAGGTTTTTGTTTTCAATTAGATTTGGTATAATTGTTTGAACTAGACAAAATTAGGGTTTATGGCTAATAAACCCTAAGGCCTTTAAATTTTTGCAAATTAGGGTTTAAGAACCATGTTTTTCGAAAATCCCTAAGGTTAAACCCTTTCTGTTACACCCCCAAACCAAGGATGGCGGAAACGTCCGGGGGTGGAGGACTTCATGTATAGTATCGAAAAAAAGATTACATGGTTGAAAGTGTTACATATTTCAATGATTGATTACAACATGATAATAAAATAGTTGTTCAATGTCGTAACATTCCATCCTCAAAAGCTTGTGGTTACTTGATTTCGTTGATTTCCTGAGAATACAAGTATTTTTGAAAGAAAAGTGTCAACAATTAAGTTGGTGAGTTCATAAACTTTTAACTGTGATGCTAAAATCATTTTCTTTGTAAAAGTGGTGTTTGTTCAAGAAAAATCCAATATTTCCCTGATAAATTGTATTGTAGTCTTAAAATTCATGACCGACATGTACAAGTATTTTCCCATACTTAAAGAACTTTTATACAAATTTAAATCGACCTAAACTTGTTAAATTTAAAAGTAAGAACCCGTAAATATTATATTTTTTTAATACCCCATGTGAGTTATTATAACTATACTATGATCTGTCGGCCTCGTAATACGAGATTCTTCAAGCGTCACCAGTTAAATGACACTTGTCACCACAGACCTGCTGGTCTAGCTATTGCATGCAGCTCATGTGCGGGTTTGTCAGACCTAATATAGATCTATACACAACTATCACGTTCTCCTTATAAGAGACTCTGGTTATAATTTATAGGACTTTTGACTTTGTTACTTTGGGGGTAACGTGAAGCGAATGTGTCACAACTTTATTCATTAACAAATTTACGTGAACTGAACTGAAAACCCCTTTTTGTATAAACCCGGTACTTTGTATTCGTACCAAGTATTTTTGAAAGAAAAGTGTCAACAATTAAGTTGGTGAGTTCATAAACTTTTAACTGTGATGCTAAAATCATTTTCTTTGTAAAAGTGGTGTTTGTTCAAGAAAAATCCAATATTTCCCTGATAAATTGTATTGTAGTCTTAAAATTCATGACCGACATGTACAAGTATTTTCCCATACTTAAAGAACTTTTATACAAATTTAAATCGACCTAAACTTGTTAAATTTAAAAGTAAGAACCCGTAAATATTATATTTTTTTAATACCCCATGTGAGTTATTATAACCATACTATGATATGTCGGCCTCGTAATACGAGATTCTTCAATCGTCACCAGTTAAATGACACTTGTCACCACAGACCTGCTGGTTTAGCTATTGCATGCAACTCATGTGCGGGTTTGTCAGACCTAATATAGATCTATACACAACTATCACGTTCTCCTTATAAGAGACTCTGGTAATAATTTACAGGACTTTTGACTTTGTTACTTTGGGGGTAACGTGAAGCGAATGTGTCACAACTTTATTCATTAACAAATTTACGTGAACTGAACTGAAAACCCCTTTTTGTATAAACCCGGTACTTTGTATTCGTACCCCGTTTATATGAACCGAAAACCTCTTTTTGTATAAACACGATACTTTGTATTCGTATCCCGTTTATACGAACTGAAAACCTTTGTTAATGAGTTTGAAATGTAATTGAAACGTAAACTATACCGGTTATAGTTTAACATAACTATTTGTACTGTATATGAAACATAAACTATACCTATTATAGTTCATCCAAAACATTTGTAATGCAAATGAACCCCATTTTATGTAAGTCGAATGTATCGCAAAAATATAACTATGTTTATCATGCCCTATCTTGTATTATTTGTAGTGACAAAGGAATCTTACGAATCAGTGAGTATTTTCTTTTATATAAATATTCCACAATAGAAAACATAGCAAAAATATGAAACCATCAAAGATTAACCCTTTGCTCAACATGTTACAAAGTGTGATAAAAGTTGTAAGTTGTCAACTTATTTTTAATATTTCTGCACTGTTTTTGAAAAATCACAGAAAAAGCATACGAAGTTGAAAACTGAATCCGTAAACTGTGGGAGTTTAGAAACTGTGTCTACTTTGTCCATAAATTTTATCATGATTTTTAGATGTCTCTAACGTGTGTGAAAATTTCCATATTCACAGACTGCTCCGGATTTGTAGCTACAGTG